TATATATATATATATACATATACATATATCTATAAATACGTATATATATAATAATATAATAATATAATAATGTACACATGAATATATATATATACATATATATATATAATTTAATAATATATAATAATATATAATAATATATAATAATATATATATACATATATATATACATACCACCCCCATGGCCCTTTATGAGGCTTGCTATATCCGGGGTGTCCGGCGCGTTTGGGTCATCGGCGACAAAAAACCGCCAGCCACTCAACAACCTTCTAGGCCCAATCGCAGACAAAGGCTCGGCTATGTAAAAAATGTTTATGTGGATGCCAGTTAATCACCCACTATAACCTCTGCAACGTTCTCTACAATGAAATTATAGATCGCCTTGTTCGATTATATATATATATATATATATATATATATATACATACATACATACCACACGTACTCTTCACGAGCGAAATCTCGGCAGTAGCAATACCCTCCCAAAGTTTGTGTTAGTATTTCAAACACTCGTGATATTATAACCGAAACACAGAATTCTAACATACACCACTTTCACGATGCATACCAATACCAATACTAACATAGACTACTAATACCTATTCAGACTACTCTCGGTAAACATACGAATACATACCAATACTAACACAGAGTACCTACACTAACACAGTCTACTTTCACTACACATACGAGTACATACTTCTATGCCAAGCCACAGGACCAGTACCATCATATAGTACTCCCAAACCCAGTACAACCACATACCTCCACCGCCATGCACAGCGAAGGCATTGGGATGGGCTCTAACCATCGACGTCTGAGCAGAGTACGTACCACCACCCCTGCTGCCCCCATCTGAGCGCTGTTCGTGAGAGCCTCCATATGGCCTGCCCCTGTCTACCCCCCCCTGGCGACTGTCTCTGCCACTCCTGTGTAATTCGAGCCGGTTGTTATTCGGCTGCCCATCACGTGAATGGAGTGTTTGCACCGGATCACGTTGCGGCTGTGTTTGCGCAGTTCTTTGTCTCTGTTGTGTGTACGGTTGACCCGGCTGTACCCCACCCGGTCTCTGTTGCATGTGCTGTGTGATTGTGGGCGGCACAGCTCCCGTATACCGTGCGTGCAGGCCGTCTCGCGGCCGTTGTTCATATACCATGCCCCTGTTCTCTGGAGCCTGTGGCCGTTCAGCCGATATACCCTCATACCCTGTCACCCGTCTTTGTGGGGCTTGTACCGAACCGCTGGGTTCATACCCCGTAGCCTGGCGCGCCTGTCCAGGCCCTGCCTGATACACCCGCTGCTCATCTCCCACCCCCCACGGCACCCCGCCCAGCCCTGAAGTATGCGTGTGCGGTCTCTGCCAGCCACGCCTGTCCGGGTCAATAGCCTCCAAGCCAGCCCGCGTGTGGAATGCATCTGCATGGTCCAAGTACCTACCCTCCACCATCTCACCGGTGGTCTGAGTCGTAACCCGAGAGTAGTTCGTTGTATGTGCGTGTGCGTGTGCGTGTGCGTGTGCGTGTGCGTGTGCGTGTGCACGTGCTTGATTAATGTTGTGGTCCTGATTTAGCCCAGGTGCCCGATATGCCCTGCCGACCCCACCACTTTGGCCTTGGCCCTGGCATTCCCCATGCACCTGGTATATGTTTGACCCAGGTGCTCGGTGTATCCCACCACTCTGGCCTTGGTCTCGGCCCTCTCTATATGCCTGGTGCATGTTTGACCCAGGTGCTGGTGTGTGGTATATGTTTGACCCGGGTGCTCGATGTACGCTAGCACTTTGGCTTTGGTCTTGGCCCTCTCTATGTACCTGTTGTATGTTTGAACCAGGTGCTGGTGTATGGTGTATGTTTGACTCAGGTGCTCGGTGTACACCAGCACTTTGGCCTTGGTCTCGACCCTCCCTATGTACCTTGTGTATGTTTGACTCAGGTACTCGATGCACCCCACCACCTTGGCCTTGGTCTCGGCCCTCTCCGTGTACCTGGTGCATGTTTGACCCAGGTGCTGGTGTATGGTGTATGTTTGACCCAGGTGCTACTGTATGGTGTATGTTTGACCCGGGTGCTCGGTGCATCCCATCTCGGCACTGGCCCTCCCCGTGCACCTGGTGTATGTAAGACTCAGGTGCTCGGTGTCCCTCACCACTTCGGCTTTGGCCCTCCCTATGTACCTGGTGTATGTTTGGCCCAGGCGCTCGGTGTACCCCACCACTTAGGCCCTGGCCTTGGCCCTCCCCATGCACCCGGTAGATGCCGCCACGTTCATACGTTGTACCGAACGTCTGTTCCGCTGCACCTCCTTGTTCCACGCCGGTCCCCTGTCCCTGTTCATGCACCTGGTACCGGTCCTGCCCTTGTTCTTGTACCTGGCTTGCCCTCCATGGCTGGTATATCTGGCGTGCTGGGTGTGGACCAGGCCTCCCTCCAGACCCGTTGCGCACTTCCGCATCCACCATCCGGCTCTGATATCCATTGCCATCCCCATCCCACTTCCTCACCGTCGAACTCATGCGCGCATTCATATCCCTACCTACCACCCTCACCTGCTCACCCCTAGGTCTAGCCCCCCCCGTATCTGTACCACGGGCCGGCCTCATACCGCTTGCCTGGGGTAGACCCTCTATCGGTAATTGCTCAGGCGGGGCGGGTGGATGTCCCGTAGCCTCTACACGGTTCACAGAATCTGAGCGCTTTCGCTCACCCACGCCCTGCATTAGTTTCACAGACTCTCGGCGCTCTATGCCCTTTATCCGGACCATTACCTTCTCCCAGTCACCACCACTGACATCCAGCCTATCGTGCTGGTTCTCCCGTTTGAGGGTCTCATAACTGGCCTCTGATCTAGCATTCGCACTACTAGGTGTATCTTCTGCCCCTTCTGTGTGTTGTAGTGTGTTTGTTCTTCTACCGTGTATATTGCCCCCCTCATTTCCTGGTCCATCTGTGTGTTGTAGTGTGTTGGTTCTTCTACCGTGTATATTGTCCCCCTCACTTCCTGGTCCTTCTGTGTGATGTAGTGTGGTTGTTCCTCTGCCGTGTGTAGTTCTTTCCTCATTTGCTGGTCCTTCTGCGTGTTGCAGTGTCTCTGTCCCTCTAACTCTTTGCGCATCTGTCCCCTGCCCTACCCCCTCTGCTTGCTGGGGTTCTCCCATCTCTTTAGCCTTCTCCATACCGTCTTCGGGTACGAATACCTCCATATCCCCACACTCAGCCATGTCTGTACCGGCTTTTGGCTCATGCGTGTTGTGTAGTCGGGCATCTCCCAGACCCACACTCTCCACCCCTTTCCCCTTGGGGTCGTTCGCTGCCTCTCCCACAGCGCCAGACTCAACACTCACCCCAGTCGGCCCAGAGCTATACTCGCTCGCGCTCTGCACGTCATTCTGAGATATACCACACCGCGTGTCATCGATGCGTATACCGTGTTGTAACCTCTCGTCCGCGTTCTCCTGCGACGTTCGCCCTATCTTGTCCCGTTCTAGGTCCAGTATGAATCCACCAATACTTTGAGCCTGTTCCGTAGGCTTGGGTGCAGCCTGGGCAATTGCCTTCTGGTTGATGCCCTGATGGCGTAGATAGTGAGAGGAGTGTGGCCGGAGTGAGGTGAGAAAGGTAGTGATGTCTTCTAGGAAATATTTGTGGGTGGGACAGGCAAGATTCGTGATGGAGATATAAATATTTAGCATGTGTACATAGACTACATGAACATTTGGACACGAGTCGGGAAAGATACATACATACATAC